TCCATTCTGGGCCTGGGCAACAAAAAATTAGCTACCAGTTCTGCCAAAGTGGTGCGAACCGGCTGAATCCCAACACTGCCTTTAACACCATTAAATAATATCTGCCTGGCCCAGACTCTTGGGAAGGACTTGATAGGTGGTTAAAAATACAGTCTAGGCCAGAGGTCTCCAACCTTTTGGCCACCAGGGACCGGTTACGTGGAGAGAAATTTTTCCATGGGCTGGAGGGGGCGTGGTTTTGTATGCTGCCTGCATCCTGTGGATGGGGCTTTCCTTGTTTGTGCGAATCAGTTGCTGGCATGCTGCGGCCCAGGGGTTGGGGACCCTTAGTCTAGGCATCTGGCTGACTGAGCAACCAATAACAGTAATAATAATAGTAAACATTTTCTTTGCAGTCTTCTTCGGAATTTTGTGCTGGTTATTTTTAAGTAGATTTCCCCAGTATTATTCATGTAGCTTCTTTGCAACTAAAGGCAGCTTATTTAATGCATTTATTGCATTTATAAATTTCTCCCCCACCTATCAGGTGCCCAGGGCTATGTATAATAAAAACAATTAAAGCTCACCATAAATCCAAGAAGTAAGGGAGCCAAAGTCGTTTAATATGCCTTCAGAACAACATTAAAATAAGGAAGTTTGCTTATTCTGTCGTTCTGGTTACCAGACTCGCAAAACAATATTGGAAAGTGAATTTGGATTGACTTCATTTTTGTCCCAGGGACAGCACTACAATCAGAATGCTGCTAATAAAAAGGCCCTGTTTTAAATAGCCATCAACCTAGCTCTCTAGCTGGTGGGGCACAAGTAGGACTATGGGTCGGGGGGGGGGGAAATTTCATTGGGCAAAATGTAAGATGTGCATAATGAAAGTTTTCTCTTTTGACTCCAAGGCCCAGTTCAACACATTTTTGAAATGATTTGTAATTGCACCATGATCTAAGAATGTAATTATTCTTAGAATGATTACAAAAGGGAAGAGAAAATAAAGCAGCCGAGTACAGCAATGCCTTTAAATACATCCCTGTCATTTCTAATGATTCCAAGTGTGGCTTTATGCATAACTCTATGGTGAATTCTATCTGTGGAGAACTGGTCACTAAGCTGGCAAAAGAATATTGATATAAGAGGATTGGTTCCTTTTTTATCCCGGAACATCACAATCAGCACTTGTGTGTTTTTGATCACCACATTTGCAAAATACTGTAGTATTATAGAGCTGGAAGGGCAACCAAGAAAATTAATGGGCTACAGAAACTATCCGATAAGAAACATGATCATGTCTGGGATTTTTTAGTCTGAAGTAAACATCATAATTGGTATATCAAAAGTACATAGTAGGAAAAATGTTTATGGAAGGAATCTAAAGTGGCAAATAAAATGGAGTAAACAATTGCAAAATATACTGTACATACATGGGGGGAAATTAGAGTAAGTAGATGATTTTCATGGATTTTGGTATAATGTTTACAAAACATTTGTTAAGAACAGAAAAAAGGACTGTGGAACGAATGCTGTCCTGCCCATTATGATATATGGAAGTAAGCATTGGGTACATCCAAAGAAACATAAAAAAAATAATAAGCTGAACACAGTAGAAACTTAAGAAATAATAAAACAAGAAGGGAGAGGGTTTAGAATGATGCAGATGGGTTAAATACAAAAGCAAGTGATCAATATGAAAGAAAAACGTTGAACTACTTTGTTTTTATACAGAGAGAAGAACGAAAACTGCACTGCAAACAAATTTCTGAAGGAAAGAGTGAATGGGCTAGGGGAAAGGGGAAGGGAAAGAAACCAATCAGACCCCCCAAAAAATATGGTTGTATGAAATTGGTGGAAACCTCAAAAATGGAGAGCTGAGAAGCTTAAAGAACAAAAGGCAGTGTATGGACAGAGTAGGGATGTGAAAACAAGGACGCTTTTGGTGTTTTGCCTTTTACAGTACTAGGGCTTGTTGTTGTCACTCACTGAAACCATATATTTGGAAACTTGGGACTAATAAAAGTATGTGCTTCTCCACACAGTTAAACTATGAAATTTGCTACAATTAGATGTGATAACAGATGATTCAAAATCAGGACAGAAAGCCAATTTGAGGTAATGGCTAAAGGCATCAGGCTAGAAACCAGAAGACCATGAGTCAGACCTGTCTTAAGAGAGCCTGTGTTGTGGTTAAGGCATTGAACTAGAAATTGGGAGATTGTGAGTTCTAGTTTTGCCTTAGGCACAAAGTCAGCTGTTCTTGGGCCATTCACTTCCAAAATCTGCAGGGACCCATCCAGGCAATTGCCAGGAGTCAACACTGACTCGAAGGTACACACAGACCGACCCACAGGTTGGTCCTATTTTGGGGACAAAGTCAGTTGAGTAATTTTGGATTTCTCCTTCTCTCTGAGCCCGAGGAAGAAGATAATGGCAAGCCACTTCTGAAAAGGTTGGCAAGAAAACTGCAGGGACTAGTTCAGGCAATCAACAAGAGTCAGGACTGACTTGGGGCACAGAAATAAAACAGAACCAGACACATTAAGGGAGAGGTCTATGAATAGATTTTAATCTGGATGGCTATATTCTTTTTTTCTGCCCCATAAACAATATAAATTAAATTCCAGCTACTGAGAACCAAAAATAGAAAAGGACGATCATGTTCTTGTTCATATTTGTCAGCTTCTTAAAATGTTTCTGGTTGGAATGGTGGACTAGATAAATTGTTGGTCTCATTCAGCAGAACTCTTCTTACCCCTTTTTTTTCTTTTTAACAAAAAATGCTATTGTACAACCTGTTAGGTGGGAAATGAGGTCAGGATCACTTAATACAGATAGTTTATAAAATAATTAGATTTTAAAATTATTTTAAAATAATTCTTCTCAAGGAACAAACTTAATCAATAGGCATTACAGTAATTTCTCTATCCATCCTGGCTCAATTTTTAAGTAGTGATGGTGATTAGAAAGCATATTTATTCATAAGAATATTGAGCATTGTAAAATTCAGTGTGCTGTAGTAGTCAATGTACCACATTAGGATTGGGAAGAACAATGTTCAGATTTGCCTTTAGCAATAGAAAGTGAGGGCCACTTTCTCCCAATCTAGCCCATTTTACAGGACTTGTGATATATGGATAAAATAAAGGCAAGTGCAACTCAGCCACTTGGAATTCCTGAAGAAGGGATGGAATATAGATGTAAAAGACAGAAATGCTGTTGGAATGCTGGTGTTTTGAAACTATTTTCCTTGCTGTTTCATGGATTTCTTTTATTTTGGTTGTTATTTTATCGGGCTGTTATTTTATTGGTTGTTATTTTAACCAGCTGTTATTCTTTTAAAAGCATTATTTCTATTTTTTAAAATTTGTAATCTGTTTCTGCCCAATCTCTCCTTTTAAGTATTATATCAGGAGGCTATCTTTGCTCTGTTCAAACTCTTGCTTACATGTCCATCTAATTGTTCAGTTCTAATTGTTCAATAATGCCAAATATAAACCTAGCTCATTCTCTCTCTCTCTCTCTCTCTCTCTCTCTCTCTCTCTCTCTCTCTCTCTCTCTCTCTCTCTCTCTCTCTCTCTCTCCCTCCCTCCCTCCCTCCCTCCCTCCCTCCCTCCCTCCGTGTGTGTATTTGTCTTTATCTGCTCTTTCACTTCTCCTCAATATCTTTTCTCAATTCTCAGTTTCATCTGCCATGGCAAAGTTAGCCCTCAGTGAAACTGCAGGTGTTTCTCTCCCTGATGATTTCATCAATATTTTTCCTGCAAGGAAAAGTAAACTGTAAAACCCCTAAAGTGACAATGCCTTTGAAACCACCAAGCCCTCTCAAATAAATAAAGAACAATATTTGTTTGGTGTTTTCATGTGCAAAGAATGTTTTCATGTACACAAGAAAAGACATGAAGATACAGTGGTATCAGAAAACTATTGTTTGGCATAGCAATATTATGTAAATTACTAGCTGCTGAGAGAGGAAGTACAATGATACACAACCAGACAATAGTCCTATGCCACTATTCCTTTTACAACACGGTAAAGTGCATAAGGGAAAAATGTCAAGGATCACACATGAAAAACCTAAGATTCACTTTCATAGCTCATCTTCTGTTCCATCTGAGGCCAACATACAATGCTTGTATAAATTAATCTAGCATCCCTGGAAATAGAAACCCACACTACAGCGATATACAGTTCATTTTAAGCATAACTTTGATTTTGGTATTTTACTACAGAGGTCCCCAACCTTTTGGGTACCAGGGACCGGTTACGTGGAGAAAGGTTTTTCCATGGACCGGACGGGGTAGGTTTTGTGTGCTTCCTGCATCCTGCGGATGGGGCTTTCTTGTTTGTGTGGACCGGTTGCTGGCATGCTGCGGCCTGGTACCGGTCCACGGACCGGGGGTTGGGGACCCCTGTTTGACTGCATGTGATGTATAAATAGCCTAATACAAATCTCAATTTCTAGTCATCTAAATAGTGGCCTAAACACAGAAACCATGAATTTTAGTAACTTTAGTCAATATGAATCTACAGGTAGTCCTCGACTTATAGTCATAATTGGGACCAGAATTTTCCCTCCTAGCAAGGTGGTTGTTAAATGAGTTGTGTTCAATTTCAAGATATTTTGCCACCAGTTGTTAAACAAATCACTGCAGCTGTTAAGTTAATCATGCAGTCGTTAAGCAAGTCCAGGTTCTTCCCCCATTGATTGTGCTTGTTGGAAGCCAAGTTCGCATGTGGCAATCACCTCATCCTGGGATACTGCAACCGTTGTATGTACAAGGCAGTTGCAAAGCACTCAAATTCTGACAGTGGGGATGCGGTGATGGGGCTGTAAGTCCAAGGACCAGTCATAAGTGCCTTTTTTCAGTTCTGCTGTAACTTTGCACAGTGACTAAATAAAGCTGAGGATTATGTATATAAGATTATTGACACACCAGCCACACACTCACAGAACGAAATACAATCATAAATGCAAAAACCTTGTTTTGAGAAGGATGCTTTTCACTTATTCTTACCTTCACTGCCGGGATGGGCTTCTTTGGGGCAAAACACTTCCTCTCAATCTGGGAAAGGAGGCTGCTCTGTCCTTTTAGTTTCAGCTTATTTTCGGCTATTATCTTCTTTCGTTGCTCAAGGTAGGGGCCAAAGCTGGGAAGTTTCTATAAGAAACAGGAAGTATGTAATTACCGCTACAGTCACGGCAGTCTTCTACAAACAAAGCTGAGACCCCCATCCCAGGTTTTTAGTTGTAGGCATATTATATTGAGGATTTGAAAGCTAAGCCAATCTCTTCTTCTCTTTGTGTTTCAGGATTTTTTTAAAATTTAAAGAGCCGCATGTATATTTTGCTAACTAATCAAGTATCCACATTTCTTTTTAAAGTATTGTGGGAGGACAGCACCCCCTCCCCCAGAGAAAGAAATATTTTGAGAATATTAAAAAGCATAATATTATATTTCCCAAAGGAATACAGTAATGGAGAAAGAAAATCTTAAAAGACAGAAACCAGCCCCTCCCCCCAGGAAGAGGCCCGGTCTGTAAAAATGCAGATTTGACAATCCTATTCAGAAAGGCTGGAGCCAGGAGGCTAGAAGCTGATGAGATTAGGAAGACAAAGTCCCCTAAAATCTACATGCCCCACCCAAACTCTAAAGACATGACCTTTAGGACATAATAGGATTAACCCACCACCCTCAGAATGCAAAAAGGGCACACTCAGACTCAGGTCAAAGTACATGACACAGGAAATACAAAGGCTCAAACAGAAACAAGTCCAAACACAAAAGCCCATTCCCAGCTACATGTGGTCAGTTTTCCCAGAGCCACATTTCTGCCTGACTCTGCTTTTCAATAAACTACAACCTTCTTTCTAAAGCAGTCTCCGTTTTGTTTATTCCCAGCTTGGACTGGACCCTGATGAAGATTTGTCTCTCAACAGTATTTTGGATTTTAAAAAAAATTGTAAATGCTGCATGTGGAGTTGGGTTTGAGGGAAAGGTAGATGACCTTGTTACATCTCACATAAGCCTAGCTGATCGGCATTTTGCCCAGAGAGCTGTGCTATGAACATATAGGGCTAGCCTTCCCACTTCATAAATTTAGCACTTAAGATAAAAGATTGCATTGAAAAAGATATTATGAGCAAGTTTCCACAATGCTAAACTATATATTTTGCCTGGACATTATACATGCTTTATATATAACCAAATCTTATATTGTAATTCTTCCTATTGTCTGCATTTTTATAGCTCTTAGTTGACAAGCAGACGTCCCTCGTGAATCTTGGGCTGAGACCTCAGAAGTATTAAGATGTATAACAATTACTAGGAAGAACTCAGGAGTATTAGGATGTACTACAAGTGCTATAGAAAATCATGTGGTCAACAGAAGATAAAATCCAGCTTGAACGAGAACAAAGCAAGAAAGATCTTAGAAACATACATGAAAAGAAATTTGCTTTTATCCATGATTAAGCTGTTAAATGGGATGTTTGCTCCATTAATAGAAAAGGGAAAACTTTTGAACTGAAGAAATACTATCAACATTTGATGCAGGTTAGAATGAAATCAGAGGAAGATATGATTAGATTGTGTGTGTGTGTGTGTGTGTGTGTGTGTGTGTGTAGAACATAAGAGAATAGTGAGTCACATGTATTCATCTGGGTCTTTCTGAAATAACTTTTACACAATGATGAGGTACAAAGCATTCTTTTATAGCTCATTATGATACCAACACCAACAACACAGCAAGTAAAAGATATTTTAGATAATTAATTCCAAAAATACTATAATTCCAAGTAAATGACATCAGTTTAATTTCTGTTAGACAGCAAACCATTCATGGCACCTGACAAAATTTAAAAATAAGAACAGGATACAAAATGTTCAAAATAAAATAATGATAAATGTTAAAATTGTGTAACAAGTAAAAACCTGCTGAAAGAGGTGTTTTTATAGATTCCCTAAACACTGAGAGAGAGGGACCAATCACAGCCCCAAAAGAAGTGAACAGGAACAAAGGTAGAGAAAACCATCACTTCTGATCTTAACAATTGGACACATTCATCATGGGAGAAGCAGTCCCTTAAATTGTCAGGTTTTAAGCTAGTTTGGTTTTTTTTGATTCAATACCACCATTTTAAATTATCCTTGGGAAGGAATTGATAACAAGTGCCTATGATTCAGAGGAGGTGTCTGATCCTATTCTTGCAGTAGTCAGCAATATCCAGACATTTTCAAACTTTGCCTTAAATGAAATATGTTGCTGGAATAAAGATGGGAGGTAACCAAAACATAAATAATTATTGCTAACTCTGTCCAGGGATATGATGGGGTGCTGGACAGAATTGTGCTCTTAATAACCAAAGCCAGTTGCAAACCCAGCTGATAGCTGATGATCAAATTGCTCTCACAGACTATGAATCTGCTTTTCCAAGTACAGTGAAACAATACTGTCTGAAATAGTACCTCAATCCAGTTTCTTGCTTAGTTATAACTTCTTGAGTGTGTCTGGATTTCATTTAGCATATTAGTCTTGATCTACTGCTGAACTTAGACAATGTTCAGGTTCCTTTCTTGAAACTGGGGCAAGGAAAAGTAGAATAGAACATCATCAGCTCTGATGATGACAATTCATAAACCCCAGTTGACATTCATTGTCAGTTCCCTAAATAGAGTACTGAGCAATATAGGGAATAATATGGTATTCTGTAAGACACTATAGGCCAAAGGCCTACTTGTCAAACTGTCCCTAGGACCATTTTGTGCATGTGGTCTCGTGATATTAGAACTACTGCAACATTGTGATAAGGTGTAATCTTCTACATAGTCCACTAACTAGATGGCTTAATGATGCTAAAAATGGTCAAAAGGTCAAAACAGAAAGAGAAACAAAAACTAGAAGATCATGCAAAACCAATCTTACTTCATTCTTTGACAAAGTGACTAAATTAGTAGACTAGCAAAATTCTATGGACATAGTATACTTAGACTTCAGCAAGGCATTTGACAAAGTAGACCACAACCTACTTCTTGGTCAGCTAGAAAAATGTGGGATACACAGCATCACCACCAGATGGATTTGTAACTGGCTGAAAAACTGCCGGCAATGGGGTGGGCACCGCTCCGGTATGATGAAACCGGCCTGTGGGCCGGCAGTTTGACACCCCTGGTATAGGATCTCCTGCTTGGATAGGGAGCTGGACTAGAAGACCTCCAAAGTCTGTTCCAGCTCTATTCTGATTCTGATTTAGGGCTATGAAGATGACCAAAATAATTTCAGAACTATATCTTGCCAAAGGATCAAGTGAAATGGATCCAGAAAATCAACTTACTTGTTTATTTATTTATTTACTTTATTTATTTATGTATGAATGCATGTATCTATTTATTTTTCCTATTTCTTAACTGCCCACCTGCCTCAGATATGTGTGGATTTATAAGGACACCTATTCTTCCTATAGGGAGGTATTGATCATCAGCCTCAATCATATTGTTCATTCCATCCATCAGGAGAGCTGACAGGTAAGTAAAGAGGTAGTGGCTATTTTCTGCTTTACGCTTGTCCATATATCTAACAAGCATTCTCATTCCAAAATAATAGAAACAGGCACGTGCCAAGGTTATAGCCCTATGAGTTGCCTAAATGCTACAATTTCCATCCTTTCCATATTGTTATGCAATGTTATGATGGAAATATGAAAGGACATCAAAAAGGACATTTTGTAACTAGACATCCTTTTGGCTAGGCATCTATACCTCCAGCAAATTGCTTCCACAGATTACAACTTTAATATTCAGATATGTTTCCCGGACCATTTCTGTATTCCTTTCTTTTTGTCACCATGCTTCATTTACATAATTCTGAAAAGTTTTTTCAACATATTATTTTCCCCAAGTTTTAGCTACAAGCTGAAGTATTACTGAGATTTTTGCATTATCCCAATCATGGTAAAAATATATAATACAGACTGCAAGATTTGGGATGCAGGAAACTGTAAGTGTAACAGCATAAAAATGATTCTATGTATAGAACAATAAGTTTGTACATTTTATGCAGTACATTTCAGAGTTGAAAGTCTGAAGTTGTACATTTATAAAAGTCTTGTATATATATATATATAAATAAATACTTCTACAATGAAAAATGACATATGTTTATTTTCATATTAGCAGGAAAATGAATTCAATGAATGGATATGCTGTAGAACTTGGAGAATTTTACTCAGTATTTTATTTTTTCTTCTCCTTACAGCAAATGGATTTACCACAAAACTTTATAAAGCACGGTCTTAGATTATTTTGACACGGCAGTTAGAGGGATATTGGATATGTTAATATAACGGTAGTAAGTTCCATGCAAACTCTAGAAAGTGCTAATTTTATTAATTTCACTGTTTGACCTCACTGAGTTTAATCTTTAGCCTACGGTCTTGCTTTCACATAATGCAGTAATGGAGAAGAATGCTAAATTTCGAATACTGCCAGAATGCCGGTTCCAATTTCTGAACACACCAGTGCCCACAGATAATGACAATATGTCAACTGGATAAAGCCAGCTTCAACTCAGGAAGGTAATCATGATATTTGATCTACCAAATAGTGTTATGAATCCAAACAAGTTGTTAGTTTTGGCTTCTTCCTTGAAAATGGCACATGCTGTGGGACAACCTCATCTCCCTTTTTACTATCTGGAAATATTTAATCAAACTAAGTAAGCCAAGTTAAATAACAATTTCATAGTCATTTAATGCAACACACTATCACTTTCAGGATAACTCGATGTATCATATTACTGTAAATACACATTTCCTGCACTGACAAGAAGCCTATGTCCAATTCCTGTCTTCTCACCCAACAGTTCACATTAACATTTACTTTTGTTGTTTATTATTAATAATTTCATGACAATCCAAGCAAGCTAAAACTGTATTTTGCTCACAAAGTGAGAAATGAAGTGAGTTTATACAAAATAATTCACATATCAAGGCTTCTATTGAATGAGAATCAGGTGTTTTGAAACAAATTTTCACCGCTACCTGAATTCCTACTTAGGTTTAAACAAAATCCCATCAACTTCTTTAAAAAAAAAGAAGAGGAAAATAGAAAAGAAAGACTACTTAAATGGAGAAATCCTAAAGAAGGAAGAATTCTATAAAATG